TTCTTTTGACCATCCCCTGGGCAGTCTCATTGTTGACACTTTCACTTCACTTCCTCTGCATTTAAAGTCATAATGGCTGGAAATATTTTTGAAGGAGAGTGTGTAGGCTACAACCAAATACCATGTCACTCTAATTCCAAGTGTTAATGCTTTCTCAATTAAAGCAAGCATTGTGTAGTGTAAGGTGTATTTCCTCATAGGGAAGTTCTGACTAAATATTTAAATTGCAATATTGACATTATGTTAGCTGTGATATGCAAACTTGATGTTTTAAAGATGTAATTAAGGGTGTTAAGAGAGCCAAGTTGATTTTAAGGTGGCCAAAAGATAAATTAAAGGAATCCAGTTGCCTTTTACTGAAGGGAAGAGGGATTAATGTTCAGAAAAAGAATTTAGAAATAAACAGGCCAAGCTGTCATTCCCCCAGAGATCCTATTATTTAATACAACTGCTTTGTTTTTCAAACATTTCCTTTTAAAGTGTTTTAGAATTGATCAGAATCCCATTGTAGTTGAAGACAAGGAAAAATTACAGTGCTAGCAGAGTTCATTTACTGATGCAGAGGTCCAGTAACTTACTGTGGGGAGGAGCATGTCTTGAGATGGCTGTAAAATACCCTGTTCTTCCAATGTCTCTGAGCAGAAATACTTTTTTTTTTTTTTTTTCTTGTAGTAGGGATAGGCTGTGGTCATTGAGGACTGCAGGTCTTTCGTTTCTGGGTAAGGTTTCAGGATTAGTCCCTACATCACATCCCCCTTAATGAAATAAGCAGCAAGGCAATTAGAGGTTAGATGCTTGAGAGTTAAATGTCTTAATCCCCAATGTCTGGGTGGTTTCTCTTCAGCATGGAACCACAGCTCAGCTATTTGCTATGGAAGCTCCCTAGGCTCCACAGTCACAGTCCAGTGCCTGCTCCTGAAGGCAGACATATAAACCTTTGCTTTCAAGAACAGAACGTAGGTCACTCTTCCTCTTAAAACATCTTTTTTAAGATTAAGATTAAAAAATCTGCTGCTGAATTGGTTTTCTGTAATTTACACAGTCGTTTAATAGGTAAGGAACTCACCAGAATGCTGGAGAGCTGAATCTGTTGTTTAGTAATTGCTGCATCTTAGCTATAGTTTAGCAGAGAGCACCCTAGGCCTTTGCCTAGGTGGAGATCATTTCTCTCTATAGAAAATAATGCCAAGATTCATAATCCAAAGAGACTGTGTACAGGTAGCATGCCAAGTGCTGTACTGTATTTACCAGCTTTTCTTTGTGTAGCTAAACAATCACTCATGGGTTTGGGCCTGGCCCAGCCTTTCAGTCCCTTTCCCTTCTCAACATGCTCTGCACTCATGCTCTTATTTTACTTTTGTTCTTAGGCACCTTGCTTGGAAGGACACAAAGTTCAGGCTCCCAGGAAGACCTGGACATGAAGTTGTTCAGGCATCTCAGATCTCTAGAACTTCTGGGTATGTGCAGAAGCAGCCTTTTTGCTAGGGGAAGTTCAAAGTGAGATGCTGAAGAAGCTTATATTCCTTTGAAGAAGACAGTTTGGTGACAGATGAGCAGAGCCTTCTAGGAAAGGGGTTTTGATCTGAGGACTGGTCAAAGATAAAACCATTGGAGTAATTTAAAAGCTACTGGTTTCTCAATTGATAACAGCTGTTTCTCAGTCAACAGGCAGTAATCGACCATTTGTATGTCCCTGTACCTTTGCAGGGGGTAGACAGAGCAGGTGTAACTGCAGTGTGTACCTGTCAGGATTGCACATCACTCCCCCAGCTTTTGTTTTCTGGCCTTAGTGAATGTGGCACCAGTTCCCAGAGCAGACTTAAGACAGATGTGTCAGGGACCAGCACTCCCCATACATTACTCTCAAGAGCTGGATACCTTCTGATGGGAATCCATGTCTTGTCCTGTGAATCATTAACTTAGAATTGGGAAAAATCAGTTTGAATAGTAACTGAGTGCACAAGTGTTTTCAGGCCTGCACACATTTTTGTTCACTTTCTCTTCCTTGTTCTGGCTGATGAGCACTTTCGTTACCACATTAAAAGTGGAGTAGCATCAGCAGGGGGCTGTGCTACTTTGGGGAGTTCCCCAGAGGCAGGCTGTTAAGGGTTGCACAGTTGTGAGATTGAGAGCATAGACATTAACATGCTGGGTGTGTGCTGGCAACAACAGCGGTCAGGCTCTTCAGCTCTGAGATGAGTAACTCAATGCTGCTGTTCATTTGCCTCTCTATTGCCATTCCTTTCCAGCACAGCTCCCCCAAGTATAAGGGCATTTCCTAATTCTGTACAGGGTCAGCAGATACACTGCACCTCCTGTGTAAGCTGTTGGTGACTGAAACAGAAATATCACCATCAAACAGCAAGAAGGCCTCAGTGACTTCAGTGATTTCCACTTTGTGGGGAGTACCTGTACATGTTGAGTTCTACCTACTACAGCATGCGGCTAGACACAAGCACAGTTCTGCTGTTGTTTACTGTCCAAAATATTATAAAACCTGAAAGTGCTGTGATTTTGAAGGGTCTGTGGCTATAGTTTTGGGAGATGTGTTTTGCTATGGGTTTTTCCCCCCAATAAACTAATATGAAACTTGTTGCCTCAGGAGAGCAAGTCAAGTGAATTTATAAGAGGCTGTGCACTGTCATATAGCAACATTTCAGCCTTATGCTTAGGGGAAATTGACTGCAAGGATGAGGAGGCAGAGCCATGTATCTGCAGTGGTTGTGGCTGGATTTCTCATCCCATTGCTTTCTGCTGAAGCGTTAAATACTGAGTACTGCTGGAGACAGGATATTAAACTTGGTGCAGTCATGTATGTGGTTCTCAGAGCTTCTGCTTCCTAAAAGGTGAATGAACTCCTTTATTATAAAACTTCTGTTCCAGTCCTTGAAATTAAATAATAACATAAAAATGTTGTATAATATATCTGTAATTTCTAGTTCTGAATTACAAAGCAAGTTTAAACCTGCCCATAACTCCCTCCTGCTGTGCTTAGGATCTGGCAGACAATGTAAAATGCTTTGTCAGAAGAACAAAGTAATTAGAACTAACTTTCCATTGCACTGGGATGAAACTATGATATTCTTGCCACCTCAGTCTCAGGATTTCCTATAGACAGACTTCAGTGTTTGCTGAATTATGATTTTGAATTAGTCCTGCAGACTCTATAATCTGATGAACCCATTAATTTTTTTATTTTTTTAGCTCTTAGATTCATGTGTCCACTTTTATCCTCTCCTAGCTTCATATCGGGCCAAAAGTTGGTTGCAAACTTTTTCAGACTGTTACTACTTTTTTTCTGGGAAGGAAACTAGTGTTGGGGCTTGAAGGGAGCTATGGGACGCATAGGAGACATTGAAACTGCTTGGTACTAGACCAAATGTAAGCAAAGATACCAAAGAATCTACTGAAGAGCTGTGCTTACAGGGTCAGAACATAGCAGCTACATCACTGAGACTACCTCTGTAATAATGAAAAAGATAAAGAAGATGCAGGCTAAGGTCAGCATTCTCTGGCTTCTGTTGTCAAGTGACAGGGTATGGTTCTTGTCCACAGTGGCTAAGCTGTCAGCCCTCTGCCAAAATCGGGGTGATCCCATCCAGCCTGCCTGCTGGGAATGGTTCTGGCACCTGCTGCATCCTGCATTATCCAGGAGAGTGCAAGGTGGCCTGGGCCAGAACTCTGAAATGTGCTAATTGTTAAACAGTATGGCCAGTACTGGAGTTTCTGCCTTAATCCAGTCTTTACTAGTAGCCATTTAGCCCAGCATGTGTTAGCTTCCTGACAGATTTTTTTTTTTTTTTTTTGAACATATAACCATTGAAATGTTGGTTGGAAGGGGGCTCTGGCAGTTATCTAGTCCAGCTTCCTCGATGGAGCAGTATGCAGCTGGCTCAGAATTAATGAGTCCTAAAGGTAGCTGCAGGGATTTAAAAAGTTCTGGTTTAGTGAGGAATGTAAACATCTTTTTTTTTTTTTTTTTTTTTTTCTTGCTTTCAGTGGGATTTGGCAGAACCCTGGGGTAAGTCTGTAGCACTAGGCTGTGTGTCTTTCTCGGGAAGTCTAGCGTGTTATCAATCCTAGACAAACTTTTTGCCTGGATAAGTATCAGCACTGCTTGGCTCTGCCGTGCTGTGGGCGGCATGGTGGCAGCTGCGAGTCTTCTAAGCAAGCTCCAGCTGTTCTTGATCTCTCCTCAGTTGGTTACGGGTACACTTTCTCCTTAATTATGTGCAATTCATGATATATTTCTACCTCTGCTGCTAAATTTCTGCTTGAATGCTTTGCTTTATAATCTTCTGCTCAACCTCAGGAATATATTAGGCATCTCATTTCTTAATGTGTGAATGAGAAAGTTTGGGAAGCAATTTGTATCTCTGACTGGAGTGGGGAATTTCTGAATTCCAGGCATTTATTGAACACTAGATTGGTATATGGTCTTTGTGATTTCATTGTCTTTTATCTGTCCATAATGGAATTATCAAATGGATTTCCTATATGGGTGATGTGAACACTGTTTAGATCATGTATATTTGGCATAAAGAACTGTGGTGTTCAGGATGATTTCTTCTTATTTAATTTCATTCCTGATTGTGAACATTCCTCTCTCATGTGGCAACCAAGGGAGGGACAAAGCAATGTTGTTTAAAGAGAAACTAATTTTTTCCTTGTTTGAAATTTCACAACGTAACCTAGAAATCAGGGATGCTGTTGACATCAAAATGGGAAAAATACTCACTGAAAGCAATCTGTTACACATTATTCTAGTGAAATAACCACCTCCATACATGTCAAGTTTGAGTATGACTTATGATGTTTTTTTTCTTTCCTATGGCTTCACTGTCTCCTAATGAATTATATCTGATTTCATACTAAATGATTATTTGAGACTAGAAGTGGCAACTTATTGGTACTTCTAAGTAAAAATTGCTCTGGAGGTTATGATTGCATATTCTGCAGTTGGATGTTTCAGTCCTTCATTGCCTCTGTTTCTGTTACAGGTGCATGTGACAGCATTGCAGCGATGAGTGGAATTTTAAAGAGGAAGTTTGAAGAAGTTGATGGCTCCTCACCTTGTTCCTCTGTGCGGGAATCAGATGATGATATTTCTAGCAGTGAAAGTGCTGACAGTGGTGATAGTGTCAATCCATCCACTTCTAATCATTTTACCCGTAAGTACTAAAGTTGTGTATCTAAAGAATTCTTCCCGTCCCTCAGAATAAAATAAATATTGCTGTTAGGTAAACACGATGGTTTTAAATTGAACAGATGATAAAGTGGACTCTCTGTGGTGTTCAGTTTATGACCTGCTCAGAATGACTTAGCAAACTGTACCCTTTTGCCTTCTTGTTAACTATATAAAACTATTTGTCACTGTAAAAATTTGAAGTCACTTGGAAGCCCCTGTTTGCTGTTTGAATTACATAGCTGTTTGTAGTTAACATTGGGAGTTGTGCTTAAAGTATTTCAAAGAGATGTAGGGAAGGTGCTTTAGGTAAGTTTGTTTATTTTCCTTAGGTAAGTATAGTACAGCTGTCAGCTATCTGGAGTATTGTGTTGGTGAGAATTCTTCTCCAAAGAAAGTAAGACACTTTCTTTTATTTAGAGTTGAGGAACATTGTGTATGGGACACAATAGTTTATGTTCTTCATGTATGGGAGGGTATCTCTGTACTAGGCAATGGTTTTGTGTATAGGTAAGAATTCGGTTTTAAGTTATCAAAGCTACGTGTCAGCATATATATCTAGGAGGGATGAATTTATGGTTTATATTTGTATGGTATTTGTTTTAGGTAGTTACACTGTTTTAATAGTGAACTGCATGTTTTAAAAAGCAGGGGTTTGCCTCTTTCAACTCTGTTGCATATAGATCTCCCCACTGGAGTTAGTGGCTATAAAGCTGCTTTCTTAAAATTGTGGGCCAGGGAGTAGGTGAGGCTCCTCATCACTGTCCATACACAATGTGATCCTTATAGCTATGTGATTTAGATTGTGCCTAGAAATCATGTCTGTAGCATGTGATACAACTGCTCTCTCATTTGTCTACCAAATGCTGCTGTGCAGTTTGAAGCCAAGGTTTGGCTGTGAGGGTCTGAATCCTCTTTGCTCTAATATGGAACATTCCTGTGCAAAAGAGTACACAGGCACAACTTTTCAAATGTGTTTACATGGAACAAGCTTGTTGTATATTATAATTAAGATGCAGTAGTAGGAGGGGACCTATTTTATTGAAATGCCACAAGGAAGTAGGTAACCCAGTAAATCTCTTTGTTACTATTAAGAAATAGCTTGGTGACAATGTTATCTGCATGCTGATCTTCTATCTTTTGCATCTGTTTAAGGATTTAGGTGATTATTCATCATAGACCCCAAGCAGTCCTTTTACATTAGTCATTGCCACCCACATAGAAGACAGCAATTTTATTGTGAATACACAGATAATACAAAGAAGGCTTGTAATTCAGGGGAGAAACTTGGAAGTTGTGTAATACATGCATGTAATAATAGGTTTTGATTGTAGTTGACACAAGAAATAATTTAGTTTTTTAATAAAATCTGTAAGGGAAACTATAGCATTTCAGTGTTATGATTAAAGACCCATATAACTGAGATATTTGTGGCCAGAGTAATAAATGTTTATCTGTGCATGCAGTCACACATATATATAGAAATTATACATATGACATTTACAAAAATATTAGTTGTCAATATGGAAATAGAAAAAATAAATAGTTTACATGTGCATTGATACTACTTAAAAGTATTGTCTTTAAGATAGATGCAGCAGCCATCTTTTCATTCTGCTTTGTTTTTACTGTAATACACCGTACTTGTAGGAGCTTGATAAATGTGATAATTTTTATTGGTAGGAAAATAGATGATGTTGATGCTCAGACAAAAAATAGAATGGAAAGGTGGTTTTATCCCTACCTAATTACTTGCATCTTGCATCCAGATTCTCTTCCAGTGTGCATCGTTATTTTGTAAATATACCAAGGACACTCCATGTTGCACCTGATGGGGAAGTCAGATTGTGTTAATTTTTTGTTAAGATGCTGCAAGTGAAATTTTGCACTTTCTTCTCCTTCCTTCATATTAAAGCGTATCAGTTACATGTTTACACAGTCAACATCTACCAATTGAGCAGTGTTAGAAAAAACACTTAGCCTCAGGCAGATCTTCTATGTATGAGCAACTCAGCACTAAAAAGGTGAGTCTTAGTGATGATGTATGCTAGTAAAAGTTAATATGTGTTTGCAAGAAAAATTAATCATGTTTGTACTTAGAATAAAAGGAGTAAAGATACTTGACGAATGCTGATAGATGTTTTTAACTTGATTACTGACTACCTCTAGTAAAAACAGGTTTATTGTTGAGATCGGATTTTTCTTTTGTTTTATTCTTCTCACGTTTTCTTGAGTCTTTGTGTGCTTTGATTCTGGAAATAATGTTTTAATCGGACAATCAGTGAAAATTTTATCTGTACAGGGTTTGTTTTCATTTTGGTTTATATCGGTTGGCATCAGCTGTGTGTGTGATGTTGGATGCTCTTCAGGGCAGGAGCACTTTTGTTTGTTAAACAGTATTATTTGAAAAAAGCCTATTCTGAGTTCTAGAAGTGATAAAAAACTAACTGATCCTACTGAAGTATTTGGCCCTGTCTTGCCAAAGCAGAATATGTGAGAATTGTCAGTGTTCATGTCTCATGAATACAGGTGTCTTACAGAGCTATTAAGTGACGTTCACTTGAAAACTACATGAAGATGTGTTGTACAGTAACGAAACTGTTAACAGTGTACATTGAAAGGTATTTTGTTCATTCCTTAAACACATTCATCTCCCAGAATAAAAGAGCTTTCTGATGTTGGATATTTGAGTCTGTACTTTTAGGGTCATATGGAAAGGAAGAGTTCTGTGAGACGTTTTCAGTAAACAGACTGAAAAGAGCCAGTGCAGAAGGAAGGCTGTCCATATTTCTTGCCTTGGTTACATGCCTGAGTACCTCCTTGGTGGAGGTTATCTTTCTAAGCCGTTTCCTGATACTTTGTACCATTTTCTTTTCTCTTTTGTGAGGTACTGTTAGATCCTGTGTATTGTCTTCCTTCTGGTCCATTTTCATATAAGTAAATCTGAAGTTTTGTATAAACTCTCTTTTAATGACTGGAAATGTGAGTGTTGCAGGTGACCTGTAGTTAATTCTTTAATTGAGCTTTTAAAAAAAGCTTAACGTGGCCCTCTAAGTCTTATTTTTCCTTTGTAATTGACCTGACAAAGAGATAATTTTTTAATCACTTATATCTACAACTCTTTAAGTGCTACAGCAAACAACCAGTTTGTGTATAAATCTATGTAGAATAGCTGATGCATCTCAGGATTTACACAACCCTTGAAAAACAATACATATTAGGTCAGATAAACAAGACTATCCTGCTCCATTAGTCTTAAGGTTAGTTTAACCTGGCAGCTAAATGAGACACTCAGCTGCTGTGGATCATTCCGGTGGGGCAGAACCACAGGAAGATAGCTTGGATCTCAGTAATTAACCCTGTAGTGTGATGGCAGAAAATAAATGACTCAGATGTCCCTGAGTGCTATCTGTTTTGACTATTACACAGGGATAAGTACAGAGTTTATTTAACAATATATCCATTTAAACAAATCAAGACAGCAACAAACAAACAAAATTAAATCCCTAGCCTAAGTTGCAGGCATCTTTTCTGAGTCAGGAAGTGAAATTACAGTCCATAAAGCAGACAAATGTTACCAAGTTCATAACAAAAAAAAAAAAAAAAAAAAAAGTGTAGTGTTTTTTTGGTCATGTATGTGTGCATATACACCTGCACATTTTTAAATCTCTCATCAAATGGTGATGGAGTGCCTTCAATACCATTGGCAGATATAATCCCTACTGTCTTTTTTACTTACTTTTCTCAGTCTATTGAGGTCAGTTCAGTTTGATTCAGCAGGCCACTAGTCACACCGCATAATTACCTTAATGGATGAGAAAGCATGTTACTAACCAGCCCCCCTACCTGTCCCATGGCCCCCCCTCCATATCAGAAACAGGGATGTTCAAGTAGCAATCCAAGCATGCATGTACAGGATTAGTCAGGACTGAGAGTATTTGTTCCCTTTTTCCTTAGTGGTACATGGAATACACAGTGCCATTTTAGCTCCTTTAAATTGCCACGTTGAGCTCGGGTACCCTGCTGCTGTGTTTCATGAGCTCCACAGCAAGTTGTCTCTGGAATCACTGTTCAGGATGTCAGTACAACACCCTGACAGTTGCGGCAACTGTGTGTGCTGAGGGATGCTGGGTTCCACGCTCCAGCTCAGCGGCGGGGGATTCTTCCTGCTTTGTGGAAGTACCTACCGCTAAACACTTGATATATTTTTCTGATAAAGAAAAATATTCCGATTTAAGTTGCAGAATTGCGTGCAGTTAGAATACCTGGGAAGACCTGATCAAGTCCTGTCTTTTGTACTCTGGTGCTGGTAAAAACTCCCCATACCATATTAATCACAGATGTATCTCTTAAGAAACATTCTTTGAGGAGCTGCTGCTTTCCTCTGCCATTTCAGCTTCAGTGTAGCGTAGCTGAAACTTTCAGAGTAAGGCCTGCAGAGGCAGGTGAAATCTCCAGCACCAACTCATCCGATAAGGTGATCTTCACCAACAGGATGTATGTATAACCACCTCACAATCTAGTTGGTATCCTCCATCAATTATCTGAGTCTTGCAATTAACATTATCACTGTCATTAGCAAGGTTATCCTGCAGCCAGCTGTAATCGTAGGTCCTGTCATTCTGCTAATTAGGGTGCTGTTTTTAAGAGTATTGGATGCCTTAGGTTCATTATGAATGTGGCTGGTCAGTAAAGGTTCTGAGAAAACCCTTTGGTCTCTAAATATTCTCTCCATGTTTTGATTTTACCATTAAAGATAACAGGGAATTTGAAAACACAGATACATTCCTATTGCACTTCTTTCAATATGACCTTAAAAATACTGTTTGAATATTCTCCAGCTGCTAACCTATTGAGATTGCCTCATCTCTGTGGCCATGCAGAACTTGGAAGAAGGTATCAAATCCTTTGAAATCCTTAGGAAGCTCTGGCTTCTCTTAAATTATCTTTATATGAAGATGAACGTTTTAGATGGTGAGGCATTAC